TGGGTGAAAGGTGGTCAGAGGTGGAGTTTCAAGCGTGCCATTCCAAAGCATCAAACTGCCATGTCCTAATGAAGTCATCCCACTGGCTCTGCCCGGCCACTGCCCTCAAGCCTGGACCTGGGCTCACTATACCCTCATTCAAAAGCCAAATCACTCCCAGTTCTCAGAGGAAAGGCTTCCCAGAACAAGGCAGAGCCCTCGTGCAGCTGGAGGCACAGAGGAAGGGACTGTCCCCAGGATACACCAGGAATTCAGTGGCTGCAGTGAGCTCTTCCATTCCATGAGCTTCTGCCACCAGGGAGAGGGTGGTTCCTCCTGCCAGTGCTGGAGCCCTAGTCCTTATGAGTGATCTGGGTTAGGCCCTCGTTCAGGTGCTACAAGGTTGGGTCTCCTGACATTGGCGGGTCCTGGTCTCCTGACTCCAGAGTTCTTCCTTCTGCTGAGTGAGGACCTATGTGGGATCATGACCATGACTCAAGGCCAGGGTGAGCACCTGGACGCTACAGCTCCTCGTGGTCCCAGCTCTACTGCCTGCTGCCCAAGTGACTTTTGCAGGCTCCTCCCTCTGTGGCTTCCGTTTTTCTTCTAGCTGTTGAGGAGATAACTGGTGATGACCTCAGGGGGCTCCCTGGCTCCACATTAAATGACCTTGAACATGTGATGACAAGCCCATTCCCATTTAGTCTCCTGGGAACCCTTTCGATTTGTTCCAGGTCCTCTTCCTGCCTCACCTCCCTTCCAACAAGTGCACACTGGCCTCCAGCTCACCCCTTGGAAGACAAGTAAACAACTTTATAACATTATAAAGTTTACCCATTAAAAATCCATAATACATCTATGTTATCTATAATAATAGATCTTTAATCTATTCCCAGGATTGTGAAAACATCACCACAATCTGACCTTAGGACATTTCTGTCACCTCAAAATCAATCCTGCACCCGTTGGCACCCCTTTCTCCCCTATGGCCTCCTGCTCAGCCCCTGGCAACATCTGGCCTGCATTCTGTCTCTGTAGACTTTCCTGTCTGGACATTTCACATAAACGCCATAACAGCACACATATCCTTTGCGGTCCTCTTCTTCACTTAGGATGGTGTTCAGGTGGGTTACTTTAGCAAAGAAAGCTGGGCTTTGGTTTTCAGTTGATGCTCTTTTTATTTCAAGCAAATTATTTCAGTCTATCAACATTTTTCCACTGAAGTGAACTGATCATTTGCTCAGGTCACCATGGTCTGTGGAAGGCGGAATGTGCGTGAGACACTTGGCAAACAGAGCCAAGTCCTACCTGTCCTGAGGGTCTGTTCATCCCTCACTGTCAGGATTGCGTACCTTCTCTGCCCCTCCTCTCTCCCACCCTCTCTCCTCCCTCCTCCCTTTGTCCTCGTGCCCTGTGAAGGGAGACCTGCAGCAAGGTCTGCAAACAGCAATCGACACCTCCTGTCAACAAACTCCGAGAGACAGCTGCGGCTCCGTGCTTCTCCCCATCGTTTTTGTCCGGAAGCTGAGTCTACATCAAGTTTAATTATGCAATTAAAGTCATTTTCCTGGGCTGAACAAATATTTAAGGCATATTTTGCTGTAAATTGCTTTGCCTGGAGGAGAGCTCTGCCATTCAGGCAAACACACACACTTACACATCCCATTACCAAGGGGCTCGCAGCTGGTCTGGTCTGCGGCGACCCAGGCTGCGTGGGCCGAGCCCCCACCCCAACCCCTCCAGGGAGAAGGTTAAAGCAAAGACACTGGTAGGTGTCAGCCAGCGAGGCAAATGTGTTCCTGGCCCCACTCTGGTGCTACTGTGAGCACAATGATGTCCTCTGCTCCTCTGCGACAGCCCCAAGTCCCTGCTCTGCACAGAGAGAAACCTCTGAGCTTTGTCCTGATGCTGTCTAGGCCCAGGTGGCTGAGAGAACATGGTGCGTGGAAACAGTTCTAAAACTCAGACCCACATCGATCTTGCCAGCCTCTCTTCCTGTGATCTGCACGGTTCTTCTGAAGGGTCCTTAAGTGCCCATGTCTGGCCCTCTGCCCCAGTGCTCCCCTGTGCTGACCTTCCTGTGCAAGCAGGGTCAGAAGCCCCCATTTCTCCCTGTAGAAGAAACTTTGTCCCCTTCCAGGGGTACAGAGTCAGCTGGCCTGGAGTTTTCTCAACTCAAAGGCATCCCCTGCCCCCCAACCAAGCTCCCAGTTTGCAGCAGGGTTCTGGGGAGAGCTTGTGTTGCTGCAAGGCATGAGCAGGGATGACAGGAGTCATGTTCAAAGCATCCATCAGAGGAGGTGATGGCCACTCAGAGATTTCGGAGCCCAAGTCGGGCCCTTTGCTGTGTAGGAATGTCTGAGACCCAGGACAGCCTGGGATAGACATGGGGGCAAGGGCAGTGGCAGTGGCTCGCCACCTCCTGTGTGGGGTATGTTACAACCTCAGGCTCCCACGTGGACATCAGGCTTACTAGGAGTGCCGGGTCTCAGTGCGTACCCCCTTATCCTCACCCTGGATCTGACAAGTCAACATATGCTGACCTGCTTTCTCTCCTCTTCTCTCCTCTGTCCTCCATCATGTCTGGCAGTGAGTAGGCCCTACAGCAGCAGTATTTATGGGCCTGAAGAAGATGGTGAAAATACAATGTCGTCCCCACCAACCCAGGCTCCAGACGCCCCAAAGAGGTGAGAGGCATGACCTGTACCCTTTTGTCACTCTCAGAGGGTCTTCTGGGCATAGATGATCCTCTGTCCGCCCCACTTTTGTCTTCACTTTTATGTCATTCAACCAATCTTCTGCAGAGTCCTGTAAACCGTTGCCTTGGTGACAATTCTGGGTCAGCTGCAATTTCTTTAAGTGAGTCTCTACAGTTGAGCATTTCGGTTGGTTCCGAGTTTGAGGTCATAATAACCTCATAAAAAGCAGCCTTACAACTAAATCTTTGGCTTCAGCCATGATTTTTTCACTTAGGACACATTTCTTAGTGGTACCATTACTGGCTCCAAATGCAGGATCTTTTGCTAAAGTCTTTGAGAAGGGGGAAGGGACTCCCTGGGGTAGGGGGGAGAAGGGAAGAGATTGTTACACAAGGAAAAGGGATGCTCCCAGAATTCCTGATTGACTACTCTCCCGTAAGTCCACCAGGGAATAGAGAAATAGAGGCTGGGTAGCCTGGGTCCCCAGCTCCCGCCCCAGCCCCAGGTAGACTGCCTCCTCCCTTGGCACCTTCAGGCATGGGCGTTGGAGTCAGAGAATGTCAACAGGGTGTTCTGTGGCAGGCTGGGAACAGAATTTGAAAGCCACTGATTTAACTAAAGACCATGAACCGCATTTAACTCTATTAAGTGGTTTCGCCATCAGTGGTTTTGGTCATACAAAGTGCCATTTGTCTGAGAAGTTGGCTCTGACCCTATGTCCCTTAAAGGGGAATGAAACACGCCTATTATCCAGCACTGGTGGATGCCTCAGTTTCCCCACCGTAAAACTGGGATTATCTTGGCTACACTTTCCATGTGGATCCCTTGCAAGGAGCAGTTGCAGAGGGGCAGAGGGAGTCTGCAAGGTACAGAGGGGAGAAAGTCTGGTGTGTCCAGTTAGAGTGGGAACAGCCTGCTCACTAGGGTGTGGTGGAGGGCAAAGCAATTTCACAGCCTGGCCCAGAAAGGAAAACATGACAAGAGGGAAGTAGTGCTTGCTTATCTAAGCAGGACAAGCGTATGATACAGGTTTATGGTTTAGTTGAACTGTTCTTCAACAGCCAGTAAGTAGGGGAGCAGAGGAGAACAGAGGCCAATCTGGGGCCAATCCCCGCCACCTCCCTTCTCAGGAAGCCCATTGTGCAGTCCCAATGCTTGGAATACAGAAGGAGCTCAATTAATGCTCGCACAGCAAAACTCCCATTAGCTTTTACTTCTAAAGAATGCTTCCCTTATAACTGGAGATGTGGCTCATAGAGCGCCTGCTTTCCAAACATGAAGCCCTGAGTTCAAACCCCAGTCCCACAAAAAAAAAAAAATGCTTTTCTTCTCACCATCCACACTGTGCATAGTCTTGCTAAAAAAAAGAGCAGAAGGGACAGCCTGTGACACAATGCAGTTCTCAAGGGACAGCTGAACCCCTAGACCCTAATTTTTGTACAAAAGCACATAGTAAACACTCCCGCCCAGCTCTGCAAACATGGCCACTCAGGTCTGTAGACTTGTTAACGAGCGCCAGCTAGTGGCGGCAGTGATTACAGCAACCAGGAAGCACAGCCCAGTCCCCAGGGCTTTCTCCATCCTCTCTGTTCCTCCTCCCCACTGGCTCCTTCCACCAGCCCAGACCAACTCGCCCCCTTCTCAAGGGCAATTCTGCATGTCCCCACCTTCTTGGGGCTGGGGCTGGATTTGAGTCACTTAGTGTTTAATCGGAGCTCTCATTTGGGTGGTTCAAATAAGAGAAGTCAAGCAAATCAAATCCATCCTTTCTATAAAAGTTTCTTTCGCAACTTTTATTATTTTTTTCTCAGAAGTGGAAAGAACACTTGTAACTGTGTAAAAGTAAGGAACTTGTGTTGTATAAAAATAATTTAAACACACATATTAGTAATAAAGCAACATTTCTTTGTAGTAACAACTAGTAGGTAATCTTGCCCGAGATTTTCCCATAGGTGTTAAATATACTCCTGAAGACAGTACAGACAGACACATACACACAAGTACATGGAACACACACATATGTACAGGTCAAGTATCTTTTTTCTGTGCAATCTAGCTATCTGACAGCTAAAGTGAGGAAACTGAAGAACTAAACAAATGCCTACGTGACCTTCAAGTTGAGCCAACGATGCATTGAGACATGCTAAGATTTCCCCTCCTGATCTCTAGTGACTAGACTGTTCTCTGTGGTTCTCATCTGAACAATTACAGTGTGCCTTCTGATCAGTTCAGCAGTGTGGTCATTATCTTGGCGATTTGGGAAGATGCACCATCTCTTTTTCCGAGTGCCTCCTGTGTCTTGGAAAGGAAGTCCTCTTCTGATTAGATCTGGCTAATTCTTTGCTTCAGGGCAAGGACCTCTCTTTCGATCTCATAGGGGAGGTCAGCATTCACTTGATCTTCTAGATACTTCTCTATGTCTTCCACTTCCTTCTCCCAGAACTCCTTGCTGATGCTGAAGAGTTCCTCCATGTTGATATTCCCCAGGCCCTTCAGATTCAGGGCCTCCCCCTTGGGGATGTACCCGATGGGCGTGAGCTTGGCACTGTCTTCCCCGTTGATCCGGTTGAACATCCATTCCAGGACCCGGCAGTTCTCTCCAAAGCCTGGCCAGAGGAATTTGCCTTCCTTGTCCTTCCGGAACCAGTTGACATGGAAGATCTTGGGCAGCTTGACTGCTGGGCGGTGGGCCATGCTTAGCCAGTGGGTCAGGTATTTGCCAAAGTTGTAGCCAAAGAAGGGCCGCATAGCAAAGGGGTCATGCATGATGACTTTACCTGTTGAGTAGAAGGGGGGATGCTTTGGTACATCATCAGTCAAAGGCAAGGATGTCAAAGTTGACTTAAGCATGTGCGGGTCTCTCTCCCCCACCAAAACAGATGCAGAGAGACAGAGAGGGGAAGGCTCTAACCACCCTTCCTTGTGGTGTCGGGTTCTGACCTTGACTTACCCTTGTGTTCTGCAGCCGCCGTGGCCTCTGATCTCATGGCTGCCCCCACAAGAACCCCGTGCTGCCAGCTGAGGGCTTCATAGACCAGAGGCACACCTTTAGCGAAAAAGAAAGTTCTACTAAGGCTTTGACATTGAGACTCTAGGACTACTGTTTGTGTGAAAAGACACAGCCAAGCAGCGTTGTTTGTTTGTTTTGTGAAACAGGGTCTCCACATAGCACAAATCCTCCCACCTCTGCCTCTAGACTGCTGGGATTACAGACATGGCTTCCACACCTGGCTGGAAGCATCTTTTCATTTGAGCTAATTTTGCCTTTGCAAAGCTAACATGCAGAAAACTGAGGAGTCAAAGTTACACCACCAGAGCCCCAGAGTGAATGATAAAACTGGATCCAGCTCTTTTAGATCCCAGACCCAGAAAGGCCGCAGATGACCAGAATCAAGGTTGCTTCTACATTTGAGCTTGCCTGCTGCTCTAGATTTGGGGAAAGAAAGGTCTTTGGTACCCTCTGATTAGGTGATAGAAAAAGAGATTTCACCAGTGTCCTTGGGCTGCCCCAACCTGCACTCCCACCCTGAATGGAAAAGAGCCTTACCAGTGGGTCGGCGGCCTCCAAAAATGATCCCCTCTATGGGCACACCTTCCGGAGACTCCCAGGCGGGGTCGATGATGGGGCACTGGCTGGCAGGGGTGCAGAACCGTGAGTTGGGGTGGGCACAGGGTTCCCCTACAGAGAGAGAGAGAGAGAGAGAGAGAGAGAGAGAGAGAGAGAGAGAGACGCCCTTAGTGTCTGGCTCAAACAAGAGAGACCTGCAGCCCTGAGCACCTGGCCTCTGAAGGGAACTCACTGTCCTGTGGGCTCCACTCCTTGTTTTTCCAGGACGTGATGGTGATGCCTGAAGCCAGTGGCTCATCAATGCCTTCCCAGTAGACACCCCCATCACTGGTCTCAGCCACATTGGTGAAGATGGTGTTCTTCAGGATGGTCTTGATGGCGTTGGGGTTAGTCTTCACAGAAGTGCCAGGAGCAACCCCAAAGAAACCATTTTCTGGATTGATAGCTCTCAAGTTACCTGGAAGGTGGCAAAGCAGAGAAAGAGCAATGAACACCAAGCACAGCACAGTGTGTTCTTGTCATGCAGGGCTGGCATTTGCACCAAAACCTCAAACCTTTCCCTCTTCCCTAGGCTACACATCCAGCTTGATTTTATCCAAGCACTGTAGACTTCTGCAAGTCTCTTCCGTGGTCCACCAATACTATTTTAACAATGACACATAGCCCTATTTCCATCCAGAGGACTTACAGAAAGCCTACAGAATATACATTTCTAAGGCTTTGCCAGCTCTGGACCCAATGCAATTAAACACCTGGCACTGTGGATTTAGGAGAATGTGGCAAGCTTGAAGGTCACCAGGTCACAGGAGTCCAACTATCATCACCACTGGGGACTATAGAGTCACCTTGGCTGTCGAACTTCATCCAGGCAATGTCGTCGCCCACACACTCTATCTTCCACCCGGGGAGGGTGGGGTTCATCATGGCCAGGTTGGTCTTCCCACAGGCGCTGGGGAACGCAGCTGCTAGGTACTTCTTTTCCCCCGCAGGGTTGGTTATCCCCAGGACCTGTGGAGATAAGGTCTTCATTGCCATCTTTGTCCCTTCTACGCATTTATGAAGTCATCACAATGAAACCCATTACTCTGTAATTAACATGCACCAATAATAAAAAGAGAGGAAGAGAAAGGGATTGAATTTTTAATAGAAAGAGGAAGGAAGAGAAGGGAATGGAAGGGAAGGGATCTGTAGTTTTTTCTGCCTACAGGAATGTCGAATTCACCTACAAATTCTAGAAACCTATACCCTCAAGGTCTGTTTCTTCAAATAGGACAAAGGAAGTCCAGGAGCTCTGGTCCCACTGCATTTGAGGTCTTTCAAAGGGGATGTATACTGGGTCATTTGTACTTAGCAATGGGATTTCCCTGTCTGCACGGGAACCACAGCGTGGCTGGACCTGCGGCCCACGGGCCCTTGCAGTGCAGGGCGTCCCTCACACTCACCAGCATGTGCTCTGCCAGCCACCCTTCCTCCTTGGCCAGCCGGCTGGCTATCCTGAGGGCAAAGCATTTCTTCCCCAGCAGTGAGTTGCCACCATACCCACTTCCGAAGGAGACGATCTCTCTGCGGTCGGGCAGGTGGGCGATCAGTGTCAGCTCAGGATTGCAAGCCCAATTGTTGACCAAAGGCTCTGTGAACAAGCACCCGGCCACATGAGTGTCCCTGCTCAGGGATTCCTGGGCACAAGCCCGAAGCTTAGCGTCCAGCTTACTGTTTCATGAACGTCTGGCTTTTGAAATAATACGCTTACTTCTTAAAGGCAGAGGGCACCCCACGGAGTGCAGACACTTGGTGAACTCCGCGTCGCCCAGGGCCTCCAGCACGGCCGCGCCCATCCGAGTCATAATCCGCATGCTGACTACCACATAGGGCGAGTCAGTCAGCTCAATCCCGATCTTGGACAGAGGGGAGCCCAGAGGCCCCATGCTGAATGGGATTACATACATGGTACGACCTGTGGAGGTGGAAGTAAGTGGCGACAGTGAGAAATGACCTTGGCTGGCAAATGGAACTAGCATCATTTCCCTATGGAAATCACATCTGCCAGCACTGGTGGCTCACACCTGTAATCCCAGCTACTCAGGAGGCAGAGATCAGTAGGATTGCGGTTTGAAACCAGCCTGGGCGAATAGTTTGTGAAACCCTATCTCAAAAAAACCCATTACAAAATAAGGGCTGGTGGAGTGGCTCAAGTTATAGGCCCTGGGTTCAAGCCCCAGTACTGCCAAAAAAAAAAAATAGTCACATCTCCCACAAATGACATCAGACCCTGTCAGCTACCAGCCTCATGCTTTAGAAGAATCTGCTGGAAAGTGAATTAGTTTTCAGAAGTGTGCAACTGTATGCTAAACAGAATAAGGGTGCACGTCTTCACACATGGAACTGAAAAAACCTGAGGCCACAGGAGTTTCCTTACTACTACAGCGACCATGGGGACAGCCCCAACAAGCGACTGTCACCCTCACCTTTCATGCAACCTGGGAACCTGGCATTGAATGCTTTCTCAAAGTCCTCTTCTGACATCCAGCGACCCAGCTGGCTGAGGCCGGTTTTGGGGATGGGCACTGTGTCTCTTTGCTCTTGGGTAATGATAACCGTCTTGCTTTCGATCCTGGCCACATCCCTGGGGTCGGTGAGAGCCAACCAGCTGCAAAAATCACAGGATGCCCTTCAGCCAAGCATCATTAGGGACTGGCAGGCTTACCTATCCTTGTGTTCTTTCCCAGCCTAGCAGGACACCGAGCACTTTGGCAATGTCCCCTAAATGTTAAAGGCAAAGCAACTAGTACACAACATCTGCAGACTTTGAGCTTAGGGTCCAGCTTACTCCGAGCTGGTCCTGCAGGCCAGGGGCTATGTTGTTAGGAATCCAGGTTCCGGAGTCTTGCTTAGGGCTTGGGCGGCTCTGCTAACACCATGGAATCGCCAGGGTTCTGACGGTTGCATTAAGTTTTGAGGATGTTCACAACCCCCAAGGCTGTTCATTCACCTCTTCCCACCAACACCAAGGAGGGGACAGAGCAGGAGCACGGGGACTCACCAGTTGTCGTACTTCCTCAGCTTCCTGATGAGACCCTCCTCCTGCATGCAGTTCAGCAGCCGTCTGTTCTCCTCCTCAGAGCCATCACAGATGTGGATGTGCTCCGGCTCGCACAGCTGGGCGTTGCTCTCTACAAACGCCCTCACTGCCTGGGGCAGGCTGTCCAGGGTGCCCTGGACAACTTTGGATGAGAGGTCCACACGGTTATGCAGCTGAGGAGGCATTTCTGTGGTGCTGTGGGGCACGGAGGCTGACGTCACCTGAACCAGAAAACACAGGCTTCCTGAACAAGAGTGCACACAGATGCCTTCCAGCACATTCTGACTTTGTTTGGGTTGCACACGGCCAGAGTTACTGCTGAGGAAAAAGAAAGTGAGGTTATGTTGTATTTGTGATTTCAGGAATCAAAGGGACTACTGACCTTTCTTCCTTTGGAGCGTTTGGCGCAGAGATCCAAGGACGCCTTGCCGGTTCTGCCTGCTGCTGGGGGCGTGTTCCCAGTGGGAAGGTCGTGCTGGGTGGCGGAACCTCTTGGCTTTAAATATGGTGTGGAAAGATGGCCCTGCCCCTCTGCTGCACGGGGGAGGCTCGCCCCTGACGTCAGGGGCAGGTCTCTGGATCACAGCCATGGTCAAGGTTGTTTTGGACCAACACACCACAATAAACCCCAGGGAGATAATGGTTGAGCAGACAGTTGTTAATGAATGTTGGGAGACCTCTGGCCTCTAGATCAGCCATAGTGAGTCTTTACACAACTTTTGATTGACTAAACTTTGACCCCGTTCACTGCTGATGCAAAACACACACCCTTTCCTTGAGTGGTGGGTGGGGGTGGAGGTCAAGGACAAGGCTGACAAGAGCAGCTCCTGGACTTCAAATGTTGCTGGCAGCACATTTTATGTGCCAATGGCTGATGGTTGTCAAAACAGTACAGCTGTGAGGTGTCGCCCCACGGTCAAGGTTCATGAGAATACACCATGACTCTGTGAATGGGCGCCTCGCTGGCAAAGGTTGGCGATGTCTGAGCTAACTGAGTGCCTATTGTATATGCTGGGCTCCCCCACATTTAAACCCCACAAGGCAGGATTTCTGCTTTTGTCACTCATGTACATCTACAGCGTCCAGCACAGAGCAGACACTGAATGCATGCATACTGATCCCTGTTCGGCTGGCTCAGTGCCACTGTGTAGGGTAGAGCCACAAGCAGCACTACGTTCAGACTAGGGAACTGAGGCATGCAGATCAAGTTGTGACTGCTGGCTGGTGGGAGCCAGAGAGGGGATACGAACACAAGCAAGCTGGGCTCTGGAGTACCACTACCTCTTCTGGAAACTTCCACGTGTCCCCCAAGAAGTTGTAGGCTAGACACAGCTGTAGGGTGGCCCTAGAGCCACCTAGACCCTTTTCACTTCCTTTGCAAGTCTGAGAGTCTGGGGAGTGGAAGAGGCTGGGCAGTTTTGCTAGATTACACTTAAGCAATGAGACCTTTACAACAGTTGTAAAGAATTTGCTTTGCCAGCCTCCAGATCTTCAGTCCACTTTAATGAGCTATCGAGGCTGCTGGCTGGGGTATAGAGAACACTGGGTGAGAAGGCAGAAGGGGCCTCTCCAGGCCCCTGCTCTCCACAGCTGGCCTAACACTTCCATGGGAACCCTCTACCTCAGATGAATTGGAGGACGGGGAGTTTGGTCCACCTGCCCTGTGACTATGGAATGATCCCATAGATAACTCCATGACTGGGCTTGCAACCAGCTATGGGCTTGGCTCGCTCTTCAACGTCAGACAAAGACATCAAATTCTCAACCCTTTGCTGGACTGCACTCACAGGTTTTTATTCAACCAATTGGGTGTTTCAGTGAAAATGCAATAGGTGAAGACTTGTGGAGTTTTAGGTCAACTCCTGTTCTGGTCTCTGGAATTCTTTACCGGAGGTACTATCACTTTATGTAAGTTCGTGGCATGTCTAAACCCAGCACAGATGTCACGCTCGGTGGCTGAGGGCCCTTTCTCAGCATCTGACATCAGTGAAACCAGCCATTCGCGTGCACAACCATAAGTCAGGACACGCAGTTACACTATGCAGGTTCAGCTCAGCTGACTGGTGGAGTTGCGGTTTGCTGATGACACTGTGATGGGCTGATTAGGAATGCTCATGAATTGAGAACAAAGTGGACCAGCTGGGGCTCAGTTGGAGCTCTGAGTGTACCATCTAAATTCCAGGTGTTCATGTTGTGAGTCTTCTGGGAGGGAAGTGGCAAGTTCCATTCAAACGCAGGACAGGAAGTCACACTGACCTTCACCCTGCCGGTTAGTTACCCCACTCACAGTATGGAAGAGTGGCATGGCCCCTGCATCACTGTGCCCTAGTCACAATGTCCAAAAGCAGCTGAGCCTGGTGGTTCATGCCTGTAATCCCAGCTACTTGGGAGGCAGAGGCAGGAGGATCGAAGTCTAAGATTAGTCCAGGCAAAAGTAGCTCAAGATCCTGTCTAAAAACAAATTAAAAACAAAAGGGCTGAGGGTGTGGCTCTAGTGGTAGAGTGAGGGCGTGAGTTTAATCCCCAGTACCAGAAAAAAAAAAAAAGAATTAAAAAGCAAATAATGGATTGCAAATGTATCATGAAGTCCAGAGTTTTCTGGAAGGAATGAGAGACAAAACAGAGCGAGGGTTTTGAGGACACAGGATTAAAAGCAGGGGCCAAAGTTCCCTGATCCCTAGTTGATGGTGTCCTAAGCCCTGTGGCTCCCATCCCCAGAGATCTCCAGTTCAAGGGGCTTCGTGGGCAGTATGTCCAACAGCACTGCTGGACACCCTCAGCCTCCCACTTGACAGTGGCTTAGGCCTAAGTAGCTGCCACACTTGGTCCTCACTGGTGATGTGTCCCTCACAGGGTGGGGAGCTGGGGCTCTGCCAGGTGTGTGCTTCTCCTGTGATTTCTGGGACAAACACCATACAGACCCCCGCTTTTCAGGGGCTCCCTGGACACGTGTGTCCTCAAGTCCAAGGCTGCCCTTTAAAATATATGAAACATTGAGCCACATACAGCACTGCTTTAGAGAAAGAAGGAGAAAGTCCAGACTGAGAAACAGCTTCAAGCGACTCTGCCTTTCCCTCTGTCCTTCCTGAGGCCACAGCACCAGACGTGCATACAGTGTCCTGCCTGCAGGACATCCAATTTGCCAAAACCACGTTGTTTCCAGGAACCCTCAGTGAAAACAGGCATTAAATGCCCTCTGTTTCCAGCACTGGGAGAATGTTCCTCCTGACAGTGGCTTTCTCTGCACACCAGAAATGGAAAACATCTTGTGATTTTTCTCTGAAATAAGCGCCTTTATTGTCTTTAGTATTTTATAGATCAAGTAAATGAGGGTCAAGAAAAGAATCACATATTCACTCAGCAAACACTGGCTAAGCAGCTAACTATTGCTGTCACACAGACATTTCTGTAGCTGTGTCCCCAAACTGTGAGCCTGTGACCCTCTTTTCCTCTATATACCACCAGCACCTCACCCTCAAGCACACATTGGGCACCTACTGCATACTCATCACCAGAGCTGCCTTCATGGAGTCAAGGGAATGCCCCATCCCAGGAAGGAGATGCCCTTCTTGGGGTTTCATGCTAGAGGTCACTGTCCGGAAATTCCTAATGACATTACTTGAGCGTGTGTCTCATAACAGGAGTCAAAAGCACGATGGAGCGTGCATTTCGGTTCAGACAGGCCCTGCCTCCTGCTGCTCCACTCCTTGAGACAGGGATTTGACCACCTGCTTCCCAATCCCACCCTTCCCTGGGCATCACTGTAGGGAGGTCAGAGAAGGGCCATGCTCCTGGCTCCCACAAGACGTCTTGGAGGAGCAAGACATCAACTAGCAAGTAAAGCACTCTGTGGCAGAGAAGACCCTGGAGAAAGAGAACACTGCTTTCTCCTTTGCAAGCAAGGGACTTCATTTTCACGACATTTGGCCCCCCTGGTTAGGCAGCCACGCTGCACACCACAGTGGTGAGAACATGAAGGAACATTTCTTCAGTAGCAAGGTGCTGGTGGCTCACACCTATAATCCTAGCTAATTGGGAGGCTAAGATCTGGAGGATAGTGGTTCGAGGCCAGGCTGGGAAAATAGTTTGCGATTCCCCCATCTCCAAAGTAAAATGGACTGGAGGTGTGGCTCAAGTGGTAGAGCACCTGCTTTGTAATTGAAAGCCCTGAGTTCAAATCCCAGTTCTGCCAAGAAAGAAAGGAAGGAAGGAAGAAAGGAATAAAGAGATTTCCTTGAGGACTTAAGATGGGGTCTGAGAGACACCCTGAAAGTCTGGGATGTTTGGTTGGTCATCAGACCCATAGGATGCTTCTGTCACCTGGCTAATCACCAAGCCCAGAGCTCATGTCGTCCTGTGGGTGGGTTGGGTGTTGCACTCGGCTGCTGGATTGTATCCAATAGTAATGGCAGACATTGGCTCCCAGCTCTGAGATAAGTGAACACCTTCCCTGAGTTGCTGTCACGTGGCCAGGTGGTCATGGTGGGCCCAGGGATGCCATAGGACTTTTAAACGCAGGTCCCTTGACTTCCCAAGTCAGGGTCCTGCCTGCTCACTGCCCATGGCCTTCTGAGCACACAGTAGAGGAGAAGTAGGTCTCCTTCTCCCCTGTGCAGAGTACATGTGGTTCGATCATTTTTCTCTACCGGCTGTGTCTCTGAAAGCCCTGTTCGGGAGCTGTCCAGAAGCAGTGTGGAAACATGGCCTGGGCCCACCATGATTCAACAGGTGCGACAGGTGAGGTGTGGGGCAGGGGCAATGGCTGTGTTCCAGGTGAGCGACAGTAAACAAAGCCATGAACTGTGTGGAGTCTCACCAGGCAGGATTCTGAAGACAGTCTGGCTGTGACATGTTGGAGTTTCCCGACCACCTAGAGGCCAATGAAAGAACAGCCAAAGATGACTCAGTGTCTGGAGGCCACAGAAGTCCAGAGAGTGGTTTCCAAACTGAGCTCCGAGGGTAGAGGGGATTCAACCAGGCCTCATCCAGAGGAGGGGGACGGGCCAGTGAGACATGCTCAGAGCCCCCTCGCCCACAGCAGCTCTGACTTAGGCTTCTATATTGGGTCTTGGTGCAAGGAATTTCACAGCTAGAAAATACTGGGAATCCACCAATCACAACCAAGCCTTTCTTTGGGTAAGGAAGCAGCTGAGAATCAGAGAGTACAAGCACTGTCTGCCATTTTCCCAAGCTAAGTCCCTCAAGCAAGACCATG